CCTCTTTGTCAATTTGTCTTAGCTCATCGTACTGGTCAATCACAATGCTATGAATATGTTGTCACTCACGTACTGATGAGCGTCCGCATGCGTCCTCATGCAGAAGGTTTACTATCCTTCCGATGGCTTCCATGATAGTCTTTTGTACTTAACGCCGCCTTTCATACAGGGCCTCCAAGATGTGGTTCAATGTCGGAAACATAAGATCACTGGCTGGCGGCGCCACGAGATGTCGGTGTCAACGTAGGATAGATCACAGAAGCATGGTACGAAAAGTATACAGTTGTTATTCAGACTTAATTCTTTCTGATCTAGGTCTCACGGGTACATAAGCTTCTCCTGACGGTGACTTCGCAAGAGTTCTCGAGGCTACGAATGTGGTCGAAATTTGTGAATGCTGGTCGGTCTCGCCTTTGAAGGCTCTTTTTCATGCGTTTTCCGGCACCAAATGATAAAAAAGGGTCGAGCCGCCGTCCCTGTGGTGATACCACTCAATCGTCTTTTCTTTAGAAGAAGAGCCTGGATTCTGTTGCACAGACTCGTTGAACACACTGAGCTGATTTTAGTGATGATAGTGCCACTCGTCGTAGTCTACACAGTAGTTTCAGCATTTTTTGTCCAGCGTGGGTAGCAGGGCGCTGATGTAGTGAAAATTCAACGTTTCGCTCGTCAATTTGTAAAATTGAAGAAAACTGACGTAACATATCCCAAGGTTTCATTCCTCGAGAGACCAAAGTTTGATTGCTCTAGTTTGTTCTTGAGCAGCACAGGACAAGAACCAAAGGTAATACGTCCCACACTTCGTTTTTTGTATCACGAATGTTGTTTCTTTCCTGTCTTTCGTCCCTCACCTGTTCGTTGCGTAAAAGAGCTTTTTTAGCGCGATGTTTGGTTTCGGTTATTCAGCCGAAAGTTGTGAATACCTCGTACATAGAGAGGGGTAGACGGGCATCAGCGTGAGTGTTGCGCAAATAACCATGCTATAACAGCACCACTTGATCATCTCGTCGTTGCATGCAATATAACCAAAATTTTTCATGTCCTTATGAAGTCATTGTAACGCCACCACTTTGGCTCCTCATCATGACGTCGAATGATGACATTATCAGATTTCATCCACACATGTTCATAGGCGGGCCGATCTAGTGAATATTAGCGTTTAGCGAATCACGAAGACATGAGTGGTGTTCAAAGCTTGAGATGGTTCTTAATACAGGTGTGCACCGGCTCGTATAGCCTAAAAGTCTGAGCTCAGCCTGTCCTGCGGGCTGGGCTCGGGCGGGCGGGCGTCTTTTTTTGGGGGTCCATGTAGAGGTCGGGCGAGATTGTTTGTTGTTTGGTGAGCCATGCGAGACGCGAATGCCGTATCAAGCCCAAAGTACAGATGTTCTGCCAGAACTGATTTACACCTGGTTATCTCCGAAATCTGGCTCCCCTTCGACGCATGGAAAAAGGGAAAACTCATTCAAGATGAGCATTGTGAGTATCTATATAGAGAATGATCTCATGATTCCCCTATCCTCAACCAAAGTACCAAACTTGTGAAATAACAAAGATCCTAAATATATCAAGCTTGCTAAACTTGCCAAAAATGTATTGGCAAATGCGGTACCAGTGCAAGCAGAGAACGGACCTACAGCTGAGCAGGATGTATGGCGAAGGAGTGCCTCACTTCACTGAAGCGTGAATCACTGGATAGCTTATCTTTGCAAAATTTGTAATTGTTACATATAGTGACTGTCATGTGTCGTTCACATATGTGTTACTTTGAAGCGTTGAATAAAATGTCACATTATTAGAAAGCAAACATCTTGTCTCCACAGCAACTTTTTATGATTTCAGGCTAGTGTATTGTTTTTGTACGTCGGGTTGAAACTGGCTCGCAGACTGTAGCGGCGGGATCAGGCAGGCCTTGGACGCAGTCAGCTGCCCATGTTCAGGCTTGGCTTCTAAATTTTGGTCAGCACAGCTCTAGTTCTGACCCAGGAATCAACGCAAACACGCACTGAAATCTTTCCGAGTAGTTGAATACAATAGACTAAAAAGAATAGCAAGCAAATGCCCATCACGTTTCAATCATCTTGGGTGGATGCATAAGAGACCGCGTGCGTTTTTTTTTTTCCTTACGCTCCTTGTTACCATGTCGCTTGCACTGTGAGTCGTAGAGTCGCTGATAGGTCTCTTATGTATTTTTTAACTTTATGCCAACACGTTTCGAATATCAATGCCGGAAGACGTTTTCCTCCATACTGCCTTATCTTTTTTCTAAACAGATTTTCTAACCACTGAATGCGCCACCAACAGCAGCATCCCCGTTCGTCTGCACATCGTAGAGTGTACGTTCTCAGTACGTTGGTATTGTTACACCAGGTTGTTGTTTTACGCGTAGGGTAAAATGCAGGGTGATGGAAGAAAGTTTTGTATGGTAAATTAGGGTATTTCACCTTGGTCTAAGCTATTTTCCTAAAGTTAGTTAGCAACACTGGCTTACGCCCACCGCGCTTGCGTCGTAAAGCTATCAGCACATGCGGCACTACTTTCATACGCCTGCAAGAATCGTTTCCTGCTTACCACGGCGGTTCAAGAAAAGTCGGGATTAGTTTTTGTTTCTGGACTCTCAACAAGCAGGATTTATTCAGTACGTAGGAGAGTGCCTCCTGTATGCAGCTTGTTGTCCAGTACCTGACTGAACGTGTTGGACGAAAGACATCATACCCGTTAATGCTTGTCCGTGGGCTAGTTGGTTCAGTAGCATTGTAAGAAGGAAAACAGCGCATGAAGACAGGGAATACAAGGGCTCACACACGAGTGCTTATTTTTAGTTGCCGGAGTGAATGAAATGTCTAGCACACACATACCTCTTAAAAGCCGTTCATAGATCTCTTGCAGTTATAGCCCACTTATAACAATCGCTTTGTCATCTAAGTGTACAAATGTAAAAATGCTCTTCTTTCTCAGTGTGTGATACTTACACCTTTTCACGTGCACCTTTCTCTTTTTCTACGTTTTTATGTTTGCAAATTTTATTTTAAATCTAGCCATCTTGCCTGATGAGTGGCTCAGCAATGTGCCGCACTCATCCCTGTAGTCTTAGAAAAGCTTGTGTAGGGGCTAGTTCGAACATACTGCAGGAAAAGGCTGCGCTGGAAAGTTGAGGACAAAAAACTGGACTGGCACAGGGAAAGCGCATCTAACAACTGAAGTTCATTTAAACAAATAGCCAAAAAATGAGGTGTAGTAACATACAAGAAAGTGGGCACTTCAAGCAAACCACGCATGATCCTGTCGGGGTGTTATCTATGTTGTATTACACGTTTTTTTAAGGATAGAAAACCGGATGTGCGTCTGGTTAACCTCCCTGCCTTTCCTTGCATCTTTATCTCTCTCTCTCTCTCTCTCTCTCTCTTTAATAAACCCTTTTTTCATTTCATCTTTTCTCTGTAAACATGCCACTTGTCCATCTGTGAGTGCTATCGAAGGTGCGCTAACGCATGTGCCAAACTTCCCAAACATAATGTAGTAAGCTTCAATGATTGTTCTCCTGACATTATCTTTGCTGTGAGCCAAAGTGGTAGCACCCCCGAAGCTAAGTTGACACCTACAATGAAAGCACCATTGAGCAAGATTTTCTTCCACGACACGCCTACTACACAAATTACTCTGTTCCTGGAGCCTTATATTAGGGCAAAAGGATCAAAAAGTGGGCCAGTTGGTAATTCATTTTCTTCGATCAGCGAACTGGGAGCGCAGAGAAAACACAAAGGACGAAGCGAGGAACCACACAACACGAGCGCTCAGTATCAACTGATTTATTTTCCACATCGGAAGGACATATATAAACACAAAATGCGCATGTCAAAAAAGAATATGACGAAATCAAGGGCAGCATGCGAAGCGTGTAATCAAGGCACATGTCTAAGGGTTATCTAGGTAGCTGAATTCACAGTCAAGTAGTGAGAAGGAAGGATGACTTATACATTGGTCCGCATTCCTGGAAATGTGATAGGCTTCAGAAATTTCGCGCGTAGTTTGATGAGGATGCCGGAACAGAACAATTGTATTCTCAAACAGAGGTTGGCACTTGCACGAAACGCAAGGTGACGCTAAATGGGAGTAAGGTGTATTTTTCAACGAGCTTCTGTGTTCCCTGAGACGCACGTTCACACATCGGCCGGTCTGGCCAATGTACATACGTCCACAAGAAAGTGGTATCTTATATACTACTCCGGTGATGCACTTAACAAACTTAGTTACGTGCTTCTGGAGGCATCCTCTACCTTTAGATGCATTATGTGCCCTCCTGTGCACCATTGAACATATACTGGCCAATTTATTGGGTGCCGAGAAAACCACGCGCACACCGAACCGGTTTCCCACGTTTTTTAACCCATGGGCCATTTTATGAATGTAGGGGATTACTGCCGCGCGCTTCTTATTCTCTTATTCTCTTATTCTGAGCGCTCGTGTTGTGTGGTTCCTCGCTTCGTCCTTTGTGTTTTCTCTGCGCTCCCAGTTCGCTGATCGAAGAAAATTATATTAGGGCGTCGGCCCGCCTGCCCAATGTAGTTGTTAGATGCACTTTCCCTGTGCCAGTCCAATTTTTCGTCCTCAACTTTGCAGAGCCGCTTTTTTCTGCTGTCGTCTCGCACTCTTTCTTTTTTGGTGACATCATACCCGATCGTGAAAACCTTTATCTTTTTGCAGCACCTTTTGCAATGGTCCTGTGAATTTTGCTACTTCTTCGAAAAGTTGTTCGAACCAACATATATTCTATAAGGTGTATATTGGTATTAGTTGGAACGCTCCGTCCGGATTGGTGAATGAAGTTCCTCAGTGCCATTCCGCTTGTCTTAAATGCAATAGTTGCACCTATTTAGGCTTAGTAAACACCGGGCTCAGTTGTGGTATGCTTGATTTCTGTAAACTTTAAAAGCCCGAATGAATAAGGAGTGGCAGAAAAGTTTTATTTGCTGATTGCGGCTTCCATTTTATATTCGCAGAGCTCTTCGAAGACAGAGGCTACACCCAGTAATGAAGAAAAGAATGTTTCCGGAGCTTGTTAAGGGAATCCCGAGCGTGGTAAGAAAAAGCACTCTGTAGTTTGTCAAAGACCTCGGCAGCAGCTTCTTTTGCTTCATATCGACGCGAAAGAGCTTTTCAGATGAGCACCATGTCGTGTGTGCTAAGGAAGTAAAAGAGCTTGATTTGGGCGAGTTAGTATAGCATACTGAAATGTTACATGTTGCACAAGAAAAAAACGAGGACTAGAAGGAACATCTACCAGCGATGAGTGCAAACTATCTACTGAAGTTTATATAGGGAGGGACGAGCAGGCTATTCATACATGCAAAAACTACTTCCCCGTCATCACGTGATCAAGCACTATCGCGACATGAAGGTAATCTCTTTTTGTTCAAATGCTACGAACGCGCAACTGACGCACGTCTTACCTGCGCGCGCAACATCAAAAGCTTGAAAATTCTCCTTCCTATCTATCGCCAGACCATGTCAGGAGTTTTAATGTTATTATCTGAAGTTTTACGTCCCAATTGAGGACATCAGTATCAGGGACGCCGTAGTGGAGGGCTCGACCATCTGACATTCTGTAGCGTGCATTGACACGGCACAGTACACGGGCCTGTAGCATTTCGCTTTCATCGATATGCAACCGCCGCTGCCAGAACCGAACCCACAACCTTCGGGCCAGCAGACGAACACAATAGCCACTGATTCAATGGGGCAGCATGCGAAGAATTTTGTCTTAATAAGAACTGTACAACAGCTGCAGCACTTGCGGTGCTCTGCGAAATATAAAACGGTTGTCTAAGACAAAGAGCCGAGAAGAAGGAGATTCATGTTATCCTATATTGGCAAAATGCTTCGGATAATATGAGAAAAGTTGTGGAAACACGTCATGTGAATGTTGTTTTCATTGCCTCGGCAAATTTTTTCAAAAGTTGTTCAAAATTTTTCAGACCAGGTCGTACCCTAGTCTTCGTTTCCGCAGCCAGTTTATTGAAGGGATTAATTGAACATGTCCAGATTGCGCCACCGTATGTATACGTTAGACCAAATGCTCTGGAAGTGCCCCTCGTTGCGCAATTCTCAGCACATGACCGAAGGGGAATGGAGCTCTGCGATCAGGAGCTCAGAACTTGCACATCGACTCTGGGCAGTCCAGAGGGCCAACGGCGCAGCGGTGAGGCTCGGCCTACACGTTCAGACGTGGCAGCAACCCGCTGCTTTACGTCCTTGAGTTAGTGTTCTTCAGCACCTCAATAAAGTTACGTGTCTGTATGTATGTCTGTCGGTCCGACGATAAAACAGTGAAACAGGACTCTTGCACCAAGAAACATGCAGTGTAGTTCACCCATTGGGACATTGGTGTCATTGATGATATTCCGTTAACCTGCAACAAAGTGTACGTAAGTCAAACGGGGCACTGCTACAACGAGACGGTGCCAGAGCAGCTTAACGTTAAACAACAAAGTGGGCAGGTATTTGGCACAGCACTCTAAGAGCTGCCACAGCCGTCGAATTATTAACCAGACAAAATTTTTGGTGTAATCAGGTGTTGTGTTAGAGTTTGAGACCATCGAAGCTATATACATTGCGCGTGCCGGAGACGTGCATTCTTTACGCGTCAGTACCGCTAAAAAATAGATTATCATTATGGCATTATAGAGCCTCAGGACGTGATGACGGGATTGGTTCTTTTATATATGTATAAGCATTGGTGTTTCCTGAAAGGAACTTCATTTGAGAGTTCGCACTCTTTTCCTGTAAGTGTTTCTTCTGATCTTCGTGTTTGTTGGCGCAATGTCTTACCTGACATTATATTTTGAGACGATTGAAGTTTTTTCAATTAGTTGTTAGTCAGAAAAAGAGATGGCAAGATAAGATAGCAAAGATATTGAGGGAGTTGGGTCAGCTTATATTGCTAGACTAGTGAAGAAGCCGCATAAGTTGATACTGCCATGAAAATTCTTTCAGCTTTGTGTGTACAGAAGTAATATTCGTTGTGCTTATTTGATTCCACCGATAACCGACCGATTGCTTCTTACTAGATTAACGACTAACTGGATTGTTTTTATAAAAGCATATGATTCCAGAAACATGCTACCTTCAGAACGTGAAGATAACACAACAGCTTACGATTGGCATTATGCCTTGGGAACTGCCGTTGATCAAACCAGGACGTCGCCACTCGTTCGTTAACTCATACCGAACATAATATGCAGAAAACCTAAGCGGCCTTGTGATTTCTGCGACGAAAAACGCACTACAGCTCGATAGCCCCGTCTATTTGATGATGATATGTGGGTTTAACATACTAAAACCACCATATTATTATGAGAGACGCCGTAGTGGAGGGGTCCGGAAATTTCAATCAACTGCGGTTCTTTACCGCGCACCAAAATCTTAGCATACGGGCGTACAACATTTCCGCCTCCATTGGAAATGCCGCCGCCGTAGCCGGGATTCAATCCCACGACCTGCGGGTCAGCAGCCGAGTATCTTAGCTACTAGACCACCACGGCGGGGCAATGATAGTGTGACACAGGAACCAATTCAGACAGAACAGTGCCAGCATTGTGGTCAGTCCTCACAGTAGTTTTACGCCCATGTGTGTCTGTCTTTCAAAAGTAGCTCACTATAAATAAATGCTACCTAATTTTCAATTTGATTCATAAAGCAGAATGCTATTAGCTATGTTGACGATGAATTCTAGCTAAAATATTGCTTCTAATAATGGCGCTTCCTCTCAGGATACATTTGAATCACGTTTTACTATAGTGAATACTTAGTGCGTGATAGCGAACTAAGTATAAAGCAGAATGCTATTAGCTAAGTCGACGATAAATTCTAGCTAAAATATTGCTTCTAATAATGGCTCTTCCTCTCAGGACACATTTAAATCACGTTTTACTGTAGTGAATATTTAGTGCGTGACAGCGCACTAAGTATAAAGCAGAATGCTATTAGCTATGTCGACGATAAATTCTAGCTAAAATATTGCTTCTAATAATGGCTCTTCCTCTCAGGACACATTTAAATCACGTTTTACTGTAGTGAATATTTAGTGCGTGACAGCGCACTAAGTATAAAGCAGAATGCTATTAGCTATGTCGACGATAAATTCTAGCTAAAATATTGCTTCTATTTTTGGCTCTTCCTCTCAGGACACATTTAAATCACGTTTTACTGTAATGAATACTTAGTGCGTGACAGCGCTTGCGTCATGCACGGAAAAAGCGCTATCTTGGTTCCACATGGTAGGAACATGATTTATACTCACATCAAGAATGAAGGCAGACTTTCTTTTTTTCACTAAAGGAGCACCTCCTTAAAATTGTCATACTTTAGTCTTGATGCGGTAGCAAAAATATTTTGAAGTAAGCTGGGCATGGGCCCAGTGTGCTACCATCTGGCCACGCTACTGAACCACACAAAGTAAGTAGTTCAATTGTGCGGAATATTTCGGTGTAAAAGTACTTACGAAGCCTAGATCCACGCCCTTTTCCTGTTCACGAAATTAGGAAATAAAAAACTACACCTCTCTAAAGATTTTGGCATCGGCCAGTTGAGCTTAGGGCATGACCAAGTTGTTAGGTGTGCGTATAGCTCATGGAGCAATGGTAAATTGTCACAACACTGTAATTTAGCATATATTCCCTATGCAAACACCTTTCTAGCAACTGCGTCCGACCAGAATCAAGCATGAGAGATGCACCAACAGTGTTCCGATGAACAGCACCACATTAATAGATGTAGTAAATCTGATTCTGTATAGCGGGCGCAGGAGCAATAAAGTATAATATAGGCAAAACAGAAGAATGGCAAACTAAGAAAAGTCGCACTAACTATGGTAAACAAATGCTTCGGTTCATGCTACCAGCTTTGGGATTAGAATTAGTAAATAGGAGCTTTTTAACATTACGGAAACCTCATTAAAGAACAACGGAGGCTTTTCACCACATTATCCTTATTATGAGCATGCCTCAAAAAGAGCACCGTCTATTAATTTTTATTTTTTGTTGTTTTCAAGGGAAATATTCTTTTTATTTATTGTACATCTCTAGTAACTGAGAAGCCTTACCAGGTTCGTTTCTTTTCTTCTTTTTTCCTATTTTTTTTTCTCACCATTGTCACTTTATCACAGTTTCATTATTATGTCGACGGAAGCACGTTACTGTTTTGTATGAAGGATATTCATGTATAGCATAATATGTTTGCATTTTATTTCTCAGTTTTTCTTAGCATGTTATCACATTTTACGCTGTAAAACACATAGGGTGGCCAGAACACCATAAAGCTGATTGTATCAACTTTTTCTTCTGAACTTGTACAACATTTTGTTGTAAATAAATAAATTAAATAACGTATTCTCAAGTGATTCTTTGGAAGCATACGAGAGATTTAAGAGGGTTCATTTTCTCTGTGAATTCATTGACAGAGCTTTCCAGATATCGATCGAGTGTACAAGCCCTACAGTGCACATGAACAATATTAGTAGATATCGCTGCATTGCTGGTATTCTTTCGCGATATCAAACCTGCTTTATTGTTAATAAAAAGTGGCATGAAATACAAGTGTAGGTGACGTGCTCGTGCTCCTGCTGATTTTATTATCTTTGTTGAAATGCACTTGATTTTTCTTGTTAAGGTGAACCACAACAAGCAAAAGGACTCCATATGTGGCAAGACATTGGTCAAAGGTGAGTGTACATCACTAGCTGCATAATCATAAGTTGTTATTCATGCGAGTATAGTTTGCTTCATCAATCTAAATGCTCACAGTAATCTAAATATAGTGGAAAAAAATAGCAGTCAAGTGGCACATCTGTTAGTGAATAAGAGCGCTAATATAGAATTCAATGGGAAATAGTCAGCTTTATATACTCTGTGAAGTCTTCGATTGAAATTACGCTGAAAAAAACTTCGCACTCAGGTGCTTTTTGCTTGTAGGTAAAATGGTTGCAAGTGAAGCTGTGCGTGGTCCTTGCCTGAACAGGTCCTTTTCGTTCTTTCGTTTTCTTACTTTTATTTTACTTCTGTGTCTTTTCTTTTTCTCTTCTTCCTTCCTTCCTGCCTTCTTCCTTCCCCCTTTTTAACTTCCTTTCTTTCAATTATTTCTTCCGCCTTTATTTACTTCCTTCTCCCTTTCAGTCTTCCTTGTTTTCTTTCAGCTTTCCTTCAGGTCGTCTTGAATCCTTTCTTTCGTGCTTCCGTCACTTCTTCTCTGCTTTCTTTCTTCCTTGCTTCCCATCTGTCTTTCTGTCTCTTTTTTCTTATTTGATTCCTTGCTTCATGCTTCCTTCATTTTTTGTTTGAAGTGAAGATGTTCCTTTCGAAAGTGCGATAATGAGTGAGTCACATTTATGTGGAGACATACACAACAGCTACGAGATACCCAGGGCTATTATATTATGCAACATATTTTAAATAAATTTCGAAGGGCACGCTACGTGATTGAGCGACATTCGAACCTCCTCTGGACACCCACACGAACGCAGAGGCAATATAAACAAATTTAGATTACTAGATTGTGTTCACTGGTTGCTAGCACGCCGCTTTCGGTAGCGCTACGTCCCGCCATGGTGGTTTAATGGCTGCTGACCGGCACGTCGTGGAATTGAATCCCGGCGGCGGTAGCTGCATTTTCGATGAAGGCGAAAATGCGGTAGGCCCGTGTGCTCCGAATTCGTTGCACATTAATGAACCAAAGGTGATGTAAACTTCCGGAGCCCTTCACTATATACGGCATGTCTTATAATCATATTGTGGTTTTGGGACGTTAAAGTTCACACATGAGTCAATTATTGTTTCCATACATCACAACTCGGTCCTAAGCTACGCATTGCATAAAAAATGGTAAAATTTTTGTCTAAGGGTTCCTTTATTCTTCCTTGCTGCCTTTCATTCTTCTTTCTTCTTTTCTTTCTTTTATGCTTCTTTCCTTCCTCCTCTTTTTTTCTTTTTTTTAATCCTGCTTTCTTTATTTTTCATTGTTTTTTTTCTTCTTTTTATTCTTCCTTCCTTGTTTTCCTTTCTTCATTTCTTCTTCAATTCTGTCTTTCCGTCTCTTTTAATCTGTTCATTATTTTATTCCTCCTCCCTTTCTTTCTTTTTTTTGCAATCTTTATTCCTTTGCTTTTTTCTTTTCTTCAATCTTCCTTCCTTCCTTTCAATCAGCTTTCCTTGATTTCCTTCTTTTTTTTTGCTTGCTTTCTTCCTATCTGTCCAATGTGCAACGCTACCTCCTACGAAGGTTACAGTTTCAACGCAGATAGCGTCTTTCTCGAAACGTTGTCTGGCGGAGAGAGCATGGCCTGGCGTACTTGGCGTCGTTCCCTGCGCTCATGGGCCTCTAGAAGCACGCTAAGGAAGGAGCATCAAACAATCATTACAGGACACCTGTCCGTAATTCAATTTTCTTGAAGCCGATATTAACGCGATAGTGCTGAAGGGGCCCTGCAACAGTTTTTGAGCATGGTCTGAAAAGAGGGCCTATAGGCTGTCGACGCTCCCGAGAACACGCGAACGAACTGTAGTGAGCGAAAGGCATAACATTTACAGTAAATTCTCATAGTCTGCTGAACGAGCTTTCTCTTCACTCTACAAGTGACGCAACAAGCTCAAAAATCACTGGTCACAGCCACTGCTAAGCCATTCGCTGATTTGAGCATGGCTCGCACGGTCCTTTCAGGGACCACTACGGGAGGCCATGACTTGCCCATGCTGGTGCACGCGATCGTCCTGAGAGCTGGAATTCGAAGAAAACAAAAAGACAGAAGGGGCTCAAGGTGATGAGGCGCGCGGGATTTCTTTTGTTCTAGTGCCATTTTACGCTGCTTAGTTTTCAGCCCTTTAGTCAGAACGAGAGAATAGGGAATGCCATTGCAGTGTGCATAAATATTCGTAACGCCACTCGCACAAGACGGATAGCAAAACTTTCTGTGGATTTTTCATGAGACAATAAGCTACTTTAGTGAATATATTACATAGCTACTTGGAGAGGTGTTGCAGGGCTCCATTCAAGTGATCGTCTTTCAGAAATTCCAGTGAGGGCACCATCGGTTCTGAGCGAACAACTATCACCCTGTCCACTGCCAAAAATCAGCAAAGATGCAAATAAACATATTATTGGAAAAATTCCGGTTGAAAAGAACAAGAAAGTTTAGTCGTTTTTCTGACAATCAGGTTTTCTCTCACGCAAACAGGAATTCGCATGTATATTTAAATAAAAGACCTCTCTGTGCTTGCAAATGCAGTGAAAATAACGTTTACGCTTTATAAGCACACGCGTACTCTATACAGGCTTCACACTACAACGTGTAATGTCGAAGTATTACTGCGTGGTACAATTGATTACCCTAACGACTTCGTGGTTTGAAGCCCGGCACCTATTACAAAGCGCAAACATGTTACTGCGCGTATCACCATAACACCACGTGGGGACCATAGCAAGTTGGAAAACATTTCACGCACATATTGGCTTGCGTTTTAATTCATGCTTCCAATTACACAGAATGCAGGCCTATGCGAAAGCTTCACTTACGCAGTCCACTTTCCCTTTATCAACTGAATTGTGGTAGCCTGAGCCTCGTTGGTGGCGTTGTCTTGACTGCTCGGTCTCATCTGCGCTCATCCCCCTTGGTATCAGTCATGATGCATTGGAAGCAGTGTGATGCGAGGTGAATTTATCTAATCACTCTTCATTTACTACCTTGGTGGTATATCGGCCGCCAAACTGAGATATGGCGCCATTACATGCATTAAACGAAGTTATTTCTGAGAATAGTTATAGCGCGAGAACGAAACGACGACATAAAGACAAGAAGGACACGAGTGCTCGTGTCCTTCTTGACTCTTTGTCATGCGTTCTGTTCTTGTGCTATAACAATTGTCATGTCATACCAACTAGCTGAAACTGTCACACTTATCACTGAGGCTTCAGATCAACTTGCGTAGTTTGCTGACGACTTCATTTTACGTGGCCATCATTGGAGAGATAGTAAATGTGTATTGCAAGCTTGTAGTCCCGCTAACAGAAAAACGAAAAGCATTGATGATACTCACGGTCTAGGACAGAACGTAACCGTGCCCTTGAAAATAGGATTTTGGACTTGTTTTGCAACTCGCCACATCTCGTAAACTCAACATCTATCAAGTGAGCTAAAGTGACTACGAAGCTGCAGTGCCAACTATAAAAACAAAAAAATTGCCTGAAGCACTGAGCGAACAGAAGATTATCCTTCTTTCACCGTGGCGATTAGGTTAGGCCAGTTAAGAATTTCATAATTATCTTCTGGTCTTTGAATGCCTGGCACATCATACCAATGAGCATGAACTGTCGCATTTATTCAAAGACAGGTTATATGATTTTATTGACGCATACTTGTTAAGCGCACATTCTTGCAAAAAATGAAAAAAAAGAAAAAAAAACGGGGTTGACATTTTGACGATTGCATCTAATAAAAAAGACAAAGCGGTTATTCGCTAAAATCAAACGAACAAAAAAAAAGCTTGTCACTACCAAATGCTATTCTAAATTGCTCACGAATAAAAAATGCATAAAAGTACCACGGACATTTATCGTTAAAAAAAACTGAACGATAGGCTGAGGACTGACTTTAGGTAAATCTCGTAACACGTTAGGAGCTGTGGTTCTGACATTATTGGTATATAAAATTCTTGATATACTGACCAAACTGCCATAGCTTATGGAGACAAGGCAAACTGCCCTAATAATATTTTGAATCAGTCTTTTCGCCAACACAGGATTCTTACTTTTCTCCCAACGCCCACAGCATATCTCCAATGAACCCAATTGAGTCTAGTGTAATTGGTATCAAGAAGTCACAAAAAGAAATATATGAAACAATAGCAATTGACCCAGATGCGATTTCTCCGCGTATCGTACGCTGAGTTGAAGCCATACACGTACATAATTTAACAAAAATCTTTAGCAAGAGGCCTTCTACCTGCTGACCGCATAATCGCTCATGTTGTTCCAATCCACAAAGGTGGAATTTGTAAAATATCTTAGGAATTACAGGACCATTTCTCTACCCTCGATGTCAACATGGGTTCCAAAAGGAGCTCTCGTGCAGCACGCAACTGGTATAACTTTATCATGATATGGTATTCGATATTGGTTCAGTGGGACAAACTGACTCTACTTTCTCCAATTTGTGTAAGGCATTCGACACGGTAACACACTCCAACAGCAACACACATTCGTTTTTTTTTTTTTGCTACAAGCTTGAATTTCTAAATATGCATTCCGCTGTTCTTAGATGGATGTAAGAATATCTCTGCCAGCGCCGACAGTGAGTCATTTAAAACGCCATAAGCTCTGGGTGTGTCGGCAACACATCGGGAGTTCCACAAGGTTCTGTATTGGGGCCACTTTTATTGTTCGTTTACACAAAGAAGATTTCAGCAGATATTTCAGCACACCTTAGATTGTTTGCAGAATATTGTATTGCGTGCAGACAAATAAAGAGCGACAGTGATTTTACACAACTGCGAACTGATCTGGAACGTGTTCAGGATTGGTTCTCTATGTGGAAATAGAACTTAATTTACAAAAAAAATATGTGCATATATCTTTGACTAGGAACCAGAACCTCACGAAGACACGGTACATTTCAAACAATGAACGGGTAAAAAAAGCGGTCAGATACAAATACCTACGTCTTTTTATCCGACT